ATTGCAGTGATGTATAATCCACCACAGAACTGCAGGAGGCCAAGAGAGGAATATGAAGAGAGCAACAGAGCAATGCTGGACACACTTGCTGAGGTGGCAAGAAGAGCTCACTCCAGCAGAGCGAAGTTGCTGGTTATGGGGGATTTCAACCACAGGGAGATTGACTGGGAAAACCTGGAGCCACATGGGGGTCCCGAAACATGGAGATCCAGGATGTTGGACGTGGGGCTGGAAAACCTCATGCACCAACATGTTAAGGACACTACCAGAGTGAGAGGGGAGGATGAACCAGCAAGATTGGACCTTGTGTTCACCCTGGGCAGCTCAGACATTGAGGACATCAAGTATGAGAGTCCCCTAGGAGCTAGCGACCACATGGTTCTGTGCTTTGAATACATAGAGCTGCAAGTGGAGAGAATAACAGGAGTTGAATGGAAAAAGCCTGACTATAAAAGAGGGGACTACATAGGGTTGAAGAACTTCCTGCGGGAGGTCCAGTGGGACAGAGAACTGGCAGGAAAGCCAGTAAATGAAATGATGGAATATGTAACAACAAAATGCAAGGAGGCAGTGGAAAGGTTTATTCCCAAGGGCAACAGTAACAACGGGAAGACCAGAACGAGCCCCTGGTTTACCCGACCGTGTAAGGAGGCAAAAAACAAAGTGCAATAGAGAATGGAAAAAGTACAGAAGGCAGAGAACACACGAAAATAGGGAGATCAGTCACAGAGCCAGGAATGAGTATGCACAGGTAAGGAGGGAGGCCAGCGACAGTATGAAAACGACATAGCATCGAGAATCAAGACTGACCCGAAACTGTTGTATAGCCACATCAGGAGGAAGACAACAGTCAAAGACCAGGTGATCAGATTAAGGACAGAAGGTGGAGAACTCACAAGAAATGATCAGGAGGTATGTGAGGAGCTGAACAGGAGATTTAAGGAAGTTTTTACAGTAGGACAGGAAGGGCTGTGGGAAGACAGCACAGAAGGGAACATCAAGAGGGAATATACCAACAAGTGTTGGAGACTTTACTAACAACTGAGGAGGTGGTGAAAAAAGCTCCTAAGTGCCTTGACCCTCAAAGGCGATGGACCGGACAACATCTCCCCATGGGCCCTTAGAGAAGGAGCAGAGATGCTGTGCGTGCCTCTAACCACAATCTTCAACACATCCCTTGAAACTGGGCAACTGCCTGAAAAATGGAAGACAGCTAATGTAGTCCCCCTATTTAAGAAAGGAAACAGAAACGAGGCGCTAAACTACAGACCTTGTCTCTGACATGTATTGTGTGCAAAGTCATGGAGAAGATAATCAGGAGGGAGTGGTCGAACACCTGGAAAGGAACAAGATTATAAATGAAAACCAGCATTGGGTTCATGGAAGGCAAATCTTGTATCAAAACCTCCTGGAGTTTTATGACAAGGTAACAGAAGTAAGACCGAGAAGAGAGGGGTGGGTAGATTGCGTTTCCTAGACTGCAGGAAGGGCCCTTTTACACAGTTCCCCACAAGGGGATTAGTGCAGAAGCTGGAGGATCAGGCGCATGTAACAGGGAGGGCACTGCAATGGATCAGAGAATACCTGACAGGGAGGCAGCACGAGTCATGGTACGTGAAGAGGTATCACAGTGGGCGCCTGTGACGAGCGGAGTCCCACAGGGGTCAGTTCTAGGACCAGTGCTATTTTTGATATATGTGAATCGACATGATGAAGGAATAGACCCTGAAGTGTCCCTGTTCGCAGATGATGTGAAGATGAGAAGAATTAAATCGGATGAGGATGAGGCAGGACTGCAAAGAGACCTGGACAGGCTGGACATGTGGTCCAGTAACTGGTTTCCCTTGAATTCAATCCAGCCAAATGCAAAGTCATGAAGATTTGGGGAGGGGCAAAGAAGACCGCAGACAGAGTATAGGCTAGGTGACAAGACAAACAGACCTCACTCAGGGAGAAAGACCTTGGGGTGACCATAACACCGAGCACATCACCGGAGGCACACATCAACCAAATAACTGCTGCAGCATATGGGTGCCTGGCAAACCTGAGAATAGCGTTCCGATACCCTAATAAGGAATCGTTCAAGACACTGTACACTGTGTATGTTAGGCCCATACTGGAGTATGCAGCACCAGTCTGGAACCCACACCTGGTCAAGCACGTCAAGAAGTTAGAGAAAGTACAAAGGTTTGCAACAAGGCTAGTCCCAGAGCTCGGGGGAATTTCGTACGAGGAAAGGTTGAGGGAGATCGGACTGACGACACTGGAGGACAGAAGGGCCAGGGGAGACATGATAACGACATCCAAGATACTGCGGGGAATAGACAAGGTGGACAGAGACAGGATGTTCGAGAGGGGAGACAGGGACAAGGGGTCACAACTGGAAGCTGAAGACTCAGACGAGTCACAGGGACGTTAGAAAGTATTTCTTCAGAGTTGTCAGGAAGTACACCCCCCCCACACCCCCCACAACCCCCCACCCCCCCCACAACCCCCCCCCCACACCCCCCACAACCCCCCCACAACCCCCCACAACCCCCCCCCCACACCCCCCACCCCCCCACAACCCCCCCACACACCCACAACCCCCGCACCCCAACCCCCCAACCCCCCACAACCCCCCCCCCGCACCCCCACCCCACACACGCACCCCCACCCCACACCCCACACACACACCCACACACAAACCCCACACACACACACCCCACACACACAACCCCACAACCACACCCCACACAACACACACCCCACACACACCACACACCCACCACACACACCCCACACACACACCCACACCCCACACACACCACACCCCCACACCACACACCCACACACACCCCACACACACCCCACACACACACACCCACACACACACCCCACACACACACACCACCACACACACACACCCCACACACACACACACCCCACACACACACACACCCCACACACACACACACCCCACACACACCACACAACACACCCACACACCACACACCCCACAACACAACACACCCCCACACACACACACACCACACACACACACACACACACCACCACACAACACACCACCCACCCCACACACACCCACACACAACACACACACACACAAAACACCACACACACACACACCACACACACACCACACAACAACACCACACACACACAACCACACACACACACCACACACACACACAACCACACACACCCACACACACACCACAACACACAAACCACACCAAAACCACACACACCACACACACCCCCAAACACCACACCCCCAAAACCAACCACAAACACACCACACACACACACAAAACCACACCACACACACCACACACACCAACCACACACCACACACACACACCAAAACACACACAAACCACCACACACACACACACACACAAACCACACACACACCAACCACCAAACACACACCCCCACAAAACCACCACACCACCAGCAACACACACACACACCACACACCCCACACACACACCACAAACACCACACACAGAGTATAGGCGAGGCGGCCAAAGACTGCAAACCTCACTCAAGGAGAAAGATCTGGGGGTAAGTATAACACCGAGCACGTCACCAGAGGCACACATTAACCAAATAACTGCTGAGGCATATGGGTGCCTTGCAAACCTGAGAATAGCGTTGCAGTACCTCGGTAAGGAATCGTTCAAGACACTGTACACTGTGTACGTCAGGCCCATACTGGAGTATGCAGCACCAGTTTGGAACCCACACCTGGTCAAGCACGTCAAGAAATTAGAGAAAGTGCTAAGGTTTTCAACAAGGCTGGTTCCAGAGCTAAGGGGAATGTCCTACGAAGAAAGGTTAAAGGAAATCGGTCTGATGACACTGGAGGACAGAAGGGTCAGGGGTGACAAGATAACCACATACAAAATACTGCCTGGGATAGATAAGGTGAACAGACAGGATGTGCCAGAGATGGAACAAGGGATCACAATTAGAAGATGAAGACTCAGATGAGCCAAAGGGTTGTTAGGAAGTATTTCTTCAGCCACAGAGTTGCTAGGAAGTGGAATAGTCTGGCAGGTGATGTAGTGGAGGCAGGAACCATACATAGTTTTAAGACTAGGTATGATAAAGCTCATGGAGCAGGGAGAGGGAGGACCTAGTAGCGATCAGTGAAGGGGCGAGCCAAATTGTCCTCGACCCTGCAACCACAATTTGGCGAGTACAACACACACACACACACACACACACACACACACACACACACACACACACACACACACACACACCACACACACACACACACACACACACACACACACACACACACACACACACAGGGAAGCTTGGGTTCCAATTAGACATCCAGGAAGGTTGGAGCTGACACAAAAATACCCTTGGACAATGTATTTTTGAGTGACAGACATGCCAGTCACTTGCATTTTTTTTGGTTTAGCCTTTTGTTTAAACTGCCATAGTAAGGCCATGTCCTCTGATAGTGTTGAGATAATACTTGATATAGTTGACCTTTAAATAAGTTACATTCCTGAAATCAGTGTTTGGAAAAATTATGGGAATTGAAAAGCTGTACTGTGGTGCCTCAATATTTTGAAAACTGTATTCTTAATCCTATGTATTCTTATTTTTATGTATTTGTAATTATATTTTTGTTTTAAGGTTGCCCAAAATTCTTTGCAAAACAATGGACTTTCTATAAAGTAATATGTCACTTGCCTTAATTATATACCAATGTGTACTCCACTTCATAGAAATAGTTTCGGCATTCATCTTGTAATGGCTTAAAATTCATGGGACATATCTGGAGCAATGGTATATTTTGAGTTTCCACTTTGTAATACCTTCTCTATCCATCAAGCAGCGATACTTGATGTGATAATCTGTTGTTTGAGAACATTATGGTGGACACTAAACATGCAAATGCAGTAATGTTATTCATGTGTGTACTTTACTCTGGACTACAGCATAAAAGTTGCTACTTGTCATTTTTATTTCAGATACACAAGTTTGGTGAATGTGTCTTATACAAAGGCTTACAGAGTACGAACCTACACATTTTGCTTCAGTATTCCGCCCAAATGTTCAAAGTACAAGATGGCTTATAAAACTTCTTTCAAAACTCAGGTAAGTTGATTCTGGTGATTACCTCTTCACGATTAAAAAGACCATTGCAGTGCTCGTGGTGTCTTGTCAGCTCATTAATTACTTTGGTATCTAATTATTTAAAAGGGGGGTTAGGGAGGATGAGATAAACCAGTTAAGCAAAATTCCTCGTCTTTATTTTTCAAGTACAGTTTACTCCTGTTAGTGATCAGAATTCTGTACATGTGTAAAAGAAATTGATGGATTTATTACAAAATTAATCAAATAAAAAGTAAAGAAATTTGACTTGGGGAATTTTTTTTTTCTGCACCTACTGTCTCCCATATAGGCAGGGGGAAACGAAACAAAAAAAGGGAACATATTCACCACTTGTGGCGAGACATCACAATCCAAATGACTCCAAATTGCACCCCCCTCCCTCTTCTTTTAGAGTACACACCTTGCACTTCCTCTAGAATTGCTCACTCTAAATCAACATGTCAAGCCATGAAACTCGCTCTTCTCCACTCTAATCTGACATGCTTATGTGAGCCTGTTTGCAAGACAACTCTGAAGTCGCTCTTTTATTAAAGTAAGTTTATACAAATGATTTACATTCAAATTGGCAAGGCATGTTATTCATCCTTGGCTGTCAACGATAACTTTGTTTTGAACACTTCTCTCCACCACAAGTGCATAAAATTAACACACCCGCAAGATTTTAATTAAAAAACAGAAATGAAATTTTCTTTTCATATCTTAATGAATGAAAATTACTTTCAAACAATGAAATATTTATATGTATATGAACATTGCTTGCATCTAAACACTGCGTGTAAATCCCCATGAAAAGTTTTATATGATTTGTAAAATTAATGTTATAGTTGATTTCTGAGACTGCATTTGAGATACGTATTGTTTCTTGAATTGTACTGTTAAGTACCCCGTAGTTTTTATTTGATTTAAAAACCTATGTTCTTGTGTGAAAAAACTGCTCAGTCACTCAATTGGCTGGATGAGGATTTGGCCACCTCCGGGTGGGCAGTTACCATTTTTTTTTTTTTCCTATTTGTAATTTTTAGCTTTGCTGTAGCCTATCAGATATTGTGAAGATTTTTATTTAAACATTTCACTATCTGTATACTTGAGTTTATTCAGGTACAGGTACACACAAATACACTTTCACAAGTTTTCATACATAGCAGCATATGTAGATTACTTGGGATAACCCAAGAAAGTCAGTGACTTGTTTCCATTTTGATATTTGCCTGCACTGTATGGCATGTCTATGCCACTACTGCATTTATGGGGTTTTCTGGTAATAAACTTTTATAATAATTTTTTCAAATGTTCCAGCACAACTTATAAGATGAAAAAACTATATTGCTCCATCCTTTCTCCATGACCAAACTATCTTGACAATCTCCTCTTTTTTCTTTTGAACATAATAATAATTCTTCCACACCATACTTGCACTGAACACACTTCATGTAGTATTGACACTGTAGATTGATTTTAGATATTAAATTTTCACTGCCTGTGATCTTGGAGAAACATTCAAAGACCATACGTTACATCCATACAAAAATGTTTGCAGTACCCCTATACTGTAATATATGTTTCCTTGTATATTCATTTAAAAGTTTTCTTAACACTCGCACTTCATGAATTTCTTGCCCTCATCTGTTGTGATTTGCTTCCTTCATAGATCCATCTGCTAACACACATTCCCAATGATCTTTAAAAAAAAGTGTCATCCATATAACTCAAACATCCATTATTTCATTCTTTCATCTTTATACACATTCTTCCAAACTCTTCGCTAACTTCTCCAACCCTGGTTTTGAATCTCCCAAAACCACTGTCACCCGCTAGTACAATATGCAGTACGACACTGTTAAAATTTCCACTCTATCAATTTCACATTTTTAAACGTAATCTGTCTACCTCCACTTTCTATAATGCTAAACCATCTCGCCTCCATTTACTCTTTGAATTACACATCCCATACTGCCACAGCAGTTTCAAATCCTTCAGTTCTTAATTTTCTGCATAATATTCCTACTCCACCTTGATTGCAGACTGGACATTACCATTGTTTAAACCACCACCACCACCACCACCACCACACCACCACCTGCTACAACCTTTAAGGATCATTTTTTTTTTTTTCGCTTAAAATTGTCAGCACCATTCTGCTTTGACACACATGGTTGAGGTGTAGAAATGGAAAGCAGGAATAAATAAGGGAGATGTAAATGACGTGCAAAAAATATTCAGCCAAGACAGGACTTTCAGCAATGGGTTAAGGTTCAAAAAATTTTAGATTTAAAAAGTATGAGAAAGCACTTGTTTGGCAAGAGTTGTGGACGAGTGGAACGAACTCTTAGGTAGTATCATTGAAGCTAAAACCTTAGTAGCTTTAAAAATAGGTTAGACAAGAACATGAGTGGGCATGAGTTGGACTTTCCTATCATAGGCCATTAGGCCTACGGCAGTGTTCCTTCTGTCTTATGTTCTTGCAGATTTCTCGTAACACTCAAAATATTTTCCTTGTACAGTGGACCCCCGGTTAACGATATTTTTTCATTCCAGAGTATGTTCAGGTGCCAGTACTGACCGAATTTGTTCCCATAAGGAATATTGTGAAGTAGATTAGTCCATTTCAGACCCCCAAACATACACGTACAAATGCACTTACATAAATACACTTACATAATTGGTCACATTGGGAGGCGATTGTTATGCGGGGGTCCACTGTATTCTGTACTTAATTCCTTGTACTTATTTGCAGTTTGGAGCGAGTCCTAGCTCTTGACATCCATATCTTAGCTAGCCTTAAATTTGTTAACACTTTCCTAGTCTCAGGCTCCATTATATCTGCTCTTAAACTGTTTATGGAATTTACTCCACCTCGTCATCCAGGTCATTACACTTTGATTACTGTACCTGATCCTTCATAAACTCGTCTGCTAATGCCTTCCACAAGTATTGTCTATATAATGTACATAACTCCAAGATTCTCTGCCATTCTAGATTTTTTTTTTTAAATTGCAACACTGACAGGACTTTTAATTTTGTGTGGTGGCAACAGTGAAAGGCTTGATGGAGATTACATCCTGTAACTTCTTTAACATATGATTTTAGAGCCCTTCATCTTCCTTTCTCATCTCTGGATATTAACCATTGCACTGAGGAGCAAGAGCAGTGATGCCGAAGGTTCTAAGTATACAAGAACGTTTGAATTTCTGATGGTACTGTAAAACATTAAAGCATTGCTATTGTCAGGGAGACTAACACATTTCTAAGTTTGTCAAAAAGTGAGTAGCCAGTTAGCTTTACTTATGTATTGGGGAGGATAAGATGAGCAGGAAATGTTAGTTACCAGCTACTGGAGCAGATTGATGTAATATACATATCTATTTCTGTAGGTAGTAGGCTGGTAGACAGCAACCGCCCAGGGAGGTACTACCATCCTGCCAAGTGAGTGTAAAACGGAATCCTGTAATTGTTTTACATGGTGGTAGGATTGCTGGTGTCCATTTTTCTGTCTCATAAACGTGCAAGGTTTCAGGTACGTCTTGCTACTTCTACTTACACTTAGGTCACACTACACATACATGTACAAGCATATATATACACACCCCTCTAGGTTTTCTTCTGTTTTCTTTCAAGTTCTTGTTTATTTCCTCTTATCTCCATGGGGAAGTGGAACAGAATTCTTCCTCCATAAGCCATGAGTGTTGTAAGAGGTGACTAAAATGCCAGGAGCAAGGGCCTAGTAACCCCTTCTCCTGTATAAATTACAAAATTTAAAAAGAGAAACTTTCTTTTTTCTTTTTGGGCCACCCTGCCTTGGTGGGATATGGCCGGTTTGTCGAGAAAAAAAAAATATATAAAAGATTTCAGGTACGTCTTGCTACTTCTACTTAAACTTAGGTCACACTACACTTGCATGTACAAACGCTCTTCCTCATTTACATCAATGATCTTCCAAACATATCCCAACACCTGAAACCCATTCTCTTTGCTGACGACACGACTTATGTCATCTCCCACCCTAATCTTGCCACCCTCAACACCATTGTTAACGAGGAGCTGCTCAAAATATCGACTTGGATGACAGCCAGTAAACTTACACTTAACACTGGCAAAACCTACTATATTATGTCTGGTAGCAGAGCAGGTGTTGCGCAACTTAACATTAAGATCGACAACACTCTAATTGCCAGACATAATGAGGGCAAATTCCTTGGCCTATACCTCGACAACAACCTAAATTTCAGCACCCATATCTGGAGTTTACCTGGAGAGAGTTCCGGGGGTCAACGCCCCCACGGCCCGGTCTGTGACCAGGCCTCCTGGTGGATCAGAGCCTGATCAACCAGGCTGTTGCTGCTGGCTGCACGCAAACCAACGTACGAGCCACAGCCCGGCTGATCCGGAACTGACTTTAGGTGCTTGTCCAGTGCATGACAAAAAAAAAAGTATCCAAAACGGTGGGGATCCTCTCCAAGATACGATATTACGTGCCGCAAAACTGCCCTTCTCACACTATACCATTCACTTATATATCCATACCTCACCTATGCTATCTGTGCTTGGGGTTCAACTGCAGCAACACGCCTAAAGCCAATAAAAACCCAACAAAAAGCTGCAGTAAGAATAATAACTAAATCCCATCCCTGGCAACCCCCCCCCCCCCACTCTTCATAGATCTAAACTTACTCCCTGTTCAGAACATCCACACTTACTACTGTGCAATCTATATCTACAGGACTTTAAATTCCAATATTAACCTTGACCTAAAATGCTTTCTTGATAGTTGACAGGATCCACAGCCATAACACCAGACACAAACATCTCTATGACATTCCCAGTGTTCGACTAAACCTTTACAAAAATTCAATGTACTTCAAAGGACCTAAAATCTGGAACACCCTACCTGCAGACACATTCATCACTTTCAAAACTACAGTTAGAAAACATCTTATCTCCCTGATCCACCCCGACAACTAACTACATGATAACCACCTGGTGGTTCACAATTACACTAACTCACCCACTGACTATAAACCCAGAAATACTAATCTTAATCTTAAAATAATAAATCCTAACTAGTCATAAGTTTGCCTATGATACTCAAATATAGTCACAAAAGCAAAAGACTTGGCAGACGATGCACCATCCCCCCAATGAAAAGCAGGGGTGTCACTAGCACGTTAAGAGACCATACAATAAGTGTCAGGGGCCTGAGACTGTTCAACTGCCTCCCAGCACACATAAGGGGGATTACCAACAGACCCCTGGCAGTCTTCAAGCTGGCACTGGACAAGCACCTAAAGTCAGTTCCTGATCAGCCGGGCTGTGGCTCGTACGTTAGTTTGCGTGCAGCCAGCAGCAACAGCCTGGTTGATCAGGCTCTGATCCACCAGGAGGCCTGGTCACAGACCGGGCCGCGGGGGCGTTGACCCCCGGAACTCTCTCCAGGTAAACTCCAGGTTGTATTGTGCCAAAACAAAAGCATTCACATTGCTAAACTCACAAATTATGATGTAGTCACTTAGCCTTAATACCATAATCTGTAAGGATTTAATGTTAAGAATTAATCTAAGTCTGCTCGAAATGTCTAGCCATTCTAGGCGTCCTAGTGGCCCCCTCTGTAATTAGTATTTTATAACATGTAAACCACAAAATACCCAAAACCTGTAAACTCCACATTGTAACCATTATAGAGAATAAACTTGATTCGAATATGCACACCCCTCTGTGTTTTCTTCTATTTTCATACTAGTTCTTGTTCTTTTTTATTTCCTCTTACCTCCATTCAAATTTTTATTTCTTTTTATAGTTGACAATGTGTGACTGACATGTTGAAAGGAGTCTATTTCCATGCATAGTTTACAATGTGTAATTACAATATTGATTTGCTAAGTGCAAAGAAAGCCACTGTCATGCAGAGGCATTTCAGGCAGACTAAACCTAATGCTTTACAGACTACTTAATACTAGACATATATAACATAGTTGGCTAAAATGCCAGGAGCAAGGGGTTAGTAACCCGTTCTCCTGTAAATATTACTAAATTTAAAAGGAGAAACTTTTGTTTTTCCTTCTGGGCCACCCTGCCTTGGTGGGATACAGCCGATGCATTGAAAGAAGATTTCTATTTCTACAACTGCATGTACGAGGTATACAGGCCTAGCTGACATCAGTGACATACTACTATATAGAAAGCTGCTTGTTATGCAGAGCATTTTGGGCAAATTAGGCCAGTTTTGTCCCAGGATGCGACCCACACCAGTCGACTAACACCCAGGTACCCGTTTTACTGATGAGGAACATAGACAACTGGTGTAAGGAAACACCCAGTGTTTCTACCCTCACTGGGAATTGAACCCGGACCCTTGCCATGTGAAGCGAGAGCTTTAGCCACCAGTCATTTGGAGTTGTCATGCGAGGAGAGGTGTAAACTGAATAGGTACATGTATTGAAAAGTTAAAACAGATAGTGGCATGGAAAAAAAAAAACAACCACACTTTCTCTGAGGCCTGGTCTCAGACTGGGCTGTGGAGGCATTGATCCCTGAAACCCTCTCCCGGTATACTACAGTATAAGTTAATTTCCTTCATGTTTATTTCTGCCTTCGAAGCTGACCAATCTTTCATTCCCTTAGTAAATATATAAAATGAGCATATTTTTCAGAGCCAGACAAAGACTCGTACGGTAGATGTATGTTGTTCAGGCTTCACTAGAGTGCCAGCAGAGGATCGTTGCATTCCCATCTGCTCACAAGATTGCATACATGGGGTATGCATCAAACCTGATGAATGTCGCTGCGAAGCTGGTTATTCTGGCCCCAGCTGTAACATAAGTAAGTTCAACATTATTATCTGCTGGATTAATTAATTATTTTGAAAACTTTAACATTCCACATTAATACAAAATTTTTTAACTTTCTTTACATAACTCAGATGTTAAGTTTTCCTTTCTTATGAGATTTCTTTTGATTGTGGAGTATACTGATTTTTTCATAAAGTATTTATTTACTTACTAATTCTTTAACGTCTTAAATTGCTTCTTGATCATTGGCATATACAGTAGTATTAAAATTTCTTAATTACCTTTGGATTGTAGGTGACTGGGAGTTTCCTAATGAGCTCATCACAGTTCAGATTGATCTAATACCATGCACTGGTCCAGAGTGTTACTTTTGTGAGTAAAACCAGTGGTTTTCCTGACCCACCTCTAGTGTGGGGTTTTCCTGACACCTCTAGTGTGGTTGTTCTGACCCACCTCTAACATAGTCACCAACACACATGGGCTAATACTCTTAGTATTGTTGCTGCTAATATTATCAAAGGACTGAAGTAGAAAGGTTAGATCTTGTAATTTTAATTTAGTTACTAATAAATGTGCTGATAATTTGCAAAATCATAGCAATAAGACTGTAAAACAAAAACTTTGAACTGGTGTGATTTGAGCCCATGGCAAGCCAGTACTAAAACTATCAGGCCTGCTTGTTTTAGGACTGGCTTGCTATGGGTTCAAATCCTGCCCAGGTTCCATGAGAAATGTGCATATATTTGTTACTGTACGAAAAGGTGACACGATAGTAGTGAAAATGCAGTACTGTACAATATAGTACTGTTACTCTCTCTTTTCCGTAATGGCAAACTAAGGAAAAACTGTGGTATTGTATAACTTTCCTTAAATAGGAAATGCATATTCACAAGTTTGCAAAAGATCTAATGAATGCTATTTATAAAGTAAGACTAAGCACCACCAGCAATCTAGTTTCTAGAGTTTAAAAAATAAAACATTCTGCTAATTGATCATTGCTGCATTTACCTAAGGTACATTAGTCACTCTTGATAATATTAGCATTTTTAGAAAGGACATTTATTTTTTGGTGGCTGCCATTTATTTCATGGTGGTGGTGGTAACATTGCTCATTGCTCTTGGGTCTTGTCTAAAGGTGGGTGTGGAGACACTTTGTTGCTACTAGTAGGATTGGCCTAGTGACAATATTCTCATTACAGTAATTCTTAAATTATAGAAAATGTGAAGGGTGGATGACATTGTCAAGATGGGGTACAGAGCAGTCATTTCTTGACTGTTTCATTAATGGACTCGCATTAAAACTATTTTCACAGCCATCATATGAGAGATGTCAAGGCCTTCCCTGGGGGCTTGAGGGATTTGTGGAGCTAGATAATAAGTTGGTGTTTATGGTGACTGGCTCTTAGTTACTAAAAGTATGTTTGTATTTATTATATATTTACTTAATATAGTGTAGCTAAATGGGAATCGGAAAGAATTATAAATGAAGAGGTTGCTATTCATAAATATTGGAAAACGTGCAATTAAGTTTTGTGCCTTCAACCTAAGGAAGCATCAGAACCATAGGGAACATGATTTTTATAGAGCAGTGGTATACTTTAAAAAAGAATTCTTTAATAGTTTAAATCTGGCCTGTGTTCAATATTTCGTATCTTGGTCACTTCTACAAATTGACCTGGCAGGCAGGCAACCAACCAACCAAGTAGCCAGCCATCCAGTCATCTTACATGCCAGGATAATGATGCTGTAAGCTGACAGGTAGTTAGAATGGCACTATAGGTTTGCAGAAGAATCTTTATTAAGATTTGTATAGGACTCTTTGTCCTATCTGAATTATCATAAAGGTTTCTCTGCAAATGGTGTCTTTGTAGCTAGCATGTTTGCCTGTCTACCTGCCTACCTAACAAGCTAGGCTGTGAGTAACAGTGGAAAGAGAAATGCAGAGTGCAAAAGTATGTAATAGTCTGCTGGGCCTAGAGAGTATTTGGTGCAAGATAGTTGAGGTTGTATTACTAGTAGGCCAGAAGAGTGTACTCTATTCATTTTCTAAAAAAATTGCAGTTTTAACAATTCTTGGTTAAATTCAGCTGCTTGACTTCCTTAAAACTTAAAAGTGCCGTGGTTATGTAAAAAGCAGTTCATTGTAATTTAACAGTTTAAAAAAAGGGGGGGGGGTTGTTGCTTATTAACATGTTAGCTTTTTTTTTTTATACTGACAGATTGTACTTGTCTTTATTATGCTGTAAAGTTTTGTTTTGTATCTCATTGTTCTCACTCTGTCCATTTACCTTCCTTGGCCCACAGAAATGAGGGGTAAGTTGTCTGATAATTGACCTGTGCCTTGTTCAGTATTAGCTGTTCAGATGATTTACTAATGCAGTTGCAACCATTTATTATTTTAGTAGAATTAATTATAAATTTTTATGGTGCTTTTTTTTTTATAGATATGTACGTTTCTCAGGAATGTGGCTGTCAGTATTTGTTTTGAGCATTCTGCATCTACAATGCTTAAATAATGATTAAGATAGCTTTATGTGAGCAATACTAGAATAATGACATTTTTCTGTGTAGTGTATTTCTTTCTTTCAACACACCGGCCATATCCCACCGAGGCGGGGTGGCCCAAAAGGAAAAACGAAAGTTTCTCCTTTTACATTTAGTAATATATACAGGAGAAGGGGTTACTAGCCCCTTGCTCCCGGCATTTTAGTCGCCTCTTACGACACGCATGGCTTACGGAGGAAGAATTCTGTTCCACTTCCCCATGGAGGTAAGAGGAAATAAACAAGAACTAGAAAGAAAATAGAAGAAAACCCAGAGGGTGTGTGTGTATATATATGCTTGTACATGTATGTGTGTAGTGTGACCTAAGTGCAAGTAGAAGTAGCAAGACATACCTGAAATCTTGCATGTTTGAGACAGACAAGACACCAGCAATCCTACGATCATGTAAAACAATTACAGGTTTTCATTGTACACTCGCTTGGCAGGATGGTAGTACCTCCCTGGGCGGTTGCTGTTTACCAACCTACTACCTAGGGTAGTGTATTTACTTGTTTTAAAGTACAGTAGGAGAACATTTCTGACTAAGGGTGATGGACAGGAGAAACTACCTTTCATCTGTTAAAAGCTGCCTTTCTAAATGGGCACAAATTTGTTAAATATTTATCCGCCCAACCTCCCCATCAACACCCAACTTTAAAGTGCAGACACTATTTCCCACCCTCGAAGCTCAAGTCTGTCTAGTTCGTTTATGGAATTCCTTCATAGATGTATCTTGCTCCAAAAGCACATGAATCCCATTTGCAGCTCTGTATTCAAACATTTATGGTATACAAGCTTGCTGGATATTCACACCTCCTTTCAACCATGTGCAGTAAGGCTTTGCTTTATGGCTTTCCGCTAATATGGACATTTAAAGTTATGACCAATACTTTCTGTACTGCTCCCCCACCTGACTTTATAATACGGTCACTGTGCCCCACCCTGTTTATTTACATTTTCCGTGAGCTCTATGAGCACCGGATCTAATCATCATGTCTGAAGACTTTCCAAAATTTAAAGTGTTTTAAAGTTATTTCATGTTTTATATCTTCTCTGATAATTATACCTATGTATACCTGTACCTAAATAAACTTATACAATGCTGGCTGCAGGTACACATTAATATCACTGGGTGTCTTATTGGTCTTGAGGATGCCATAGTAATTAATAATGAAAATATTAATATATAATAAACATAAACAATAAATATAAACATTTTCATTAATCCATCTATATTTTTTCAAAACATACAATAAACACGCTATATATAAACCATGATAAATACACCCCACAGTAGAATAAATTAACATTACCTGGAGAGAGTTCTGGGGGTCAACGCCCCCGCGGCCCGGTCTGTGACCAGGCCTCCTGGTGGATCAGAGCCTGATCAACCAGGCTCTTACTTCTGGCTGCACGCAAATCAATGTACGAGCCATAGCCCGGCTGGTCAGGTACTGACTTTAGTTGCTTGTCCAGTGCCAGCTTGAAGACTGCCAGGGGTCTATTGGTAATCCCCCTTATGTATGCTGAGAGGCAGTTGAACAGTCTTGGGCTCCTGACACTCATTGTATGGTCTCTTAACGTGCTAGTGACACCCCTGCTTTTCATTGGGGGGATGTTGCATCGTCTGCCAAGTCTTTTGCTTTCGTTGCGAGTGATTTTCGTGTGCAAGTTCGGTACTAGTCCCTCTAGGATTTTCCAGGTGTATATAATAATGTATCTCTCCCGCCTGCGTTCCAGGGAATACAGGTTCAGGAACTTCAAGCGCTCCCAGTAATTGAGTATATGCATTAATATGAGATGTTGCATGTATGAACCAAAACCAGACACATTAGTCTGTTTACATAACTTTGCGTCTCTCTCCTCTATCATTTACTTGTTCTCTTTCTCGTTTATTCATTTTCACCTCGTTTACTTGTCTCTCGCCCTACATTAAGACTACAAGTACAGTGGAACCCCGAGTTTTGTCCATCCTAAAGTCCAAACAATACTTCCCATAAGAAATAATGTAAATCCAGTTAATCTGTTCGACCCACAAACACATTCACCAAAAAATACATTTTTTAAAGAATAACTATAGTTTTACGTACAACACAGATAAATACATATAGTACTTAAATTTGCAAAACAGTAGATAAATTAACATTTAAAACATTTAAAATAACATTTACTTCCTTTACTGAAGACTGTTGCTGGCATCTGGAAGATAGGGAGGAAGAGTGAGGGAACACTTATTGTTTGGAAGGGAAATCCCCTTTCATGAAGACTTTAGGTAACAAGTCCTTATCTGGGGTTACTTCCCTTTGTCTTTTAACCCCTTGACTGTCGCAACCCCCAATCCTGAGGTGTCCCCTGGTGTCACAAAATTTAAAAAAAAAAAAAAAATTATTTTTTCTTATGAAATGATAAGAGCATCTTTTCCCGATTGTAAAGACACCAAAAAAAAACGAAATTTGATGGAAAACTGACGGAATTACGCTCTCACAAAGTTAGCGACCTTGGCGATATTTACAAATCGTCGATTTCGCCCACTTTGAGCCCTATTTTCAGCTAATTCCATTATTCCAGTCAACCAAACTCATAGCTATTTCTTCAGAACTCCATTTTTTCTATCGATTGAGTACAAGAAACTGCCCATTAACCGATTTCAACTACCCAATAACATGGTCAGAAATTTGCAATTTGGCCAATTTCACGAAAATTAAAAAATGACAATTTCAAAATAAGGACCAGAATGAACAATGCAGACATTCCTGGCTCTAAAATAACATTTTCTTTGTTCATCAGTCATGTCTCCAGGCCCCTGTGATATTACTCTTGCTTTTTAT